GTGACAATAATTTACTTTCTTTTGAATGGAATTTGTTAGCTGCTCTTCATTTATTCCACAGTATACTCTAATTCTTTTTCTCTGACGTATCTGGTAATCCTTTTTTTTTTTAAATACTTTACACAATACAATTATTATATATTCTATGTACTTCATAATTATTTATGATAATAAAAAATTTTAAATAAGAAATAAAGAATTTAATACTAATTTTTTAATAAAATAGAAACATTTTTAAACAGAAAAGAAATGACACGTTTGGTAAAATAAAAACAGACTACTCACCTTCTTTCTTTATTTCGACCGTCGGTTGGTTTGGATCTTATACTTTTGTCGCATACCTACGTGTTATCTCTGTTTATTCCTTCTACCCTTCTATCGCTACTACCTACAAACATTTCGAGTATCAAAAGAATACGTGTCCACTCTTTGTAGTATGCAGCCGCACACAAACGCACACATATACAACCAGGAGCGATAACTACGAAGCATAGCATAAAGAGGAGACCGAGAATAGGAAAAACTGTATAGCTATATTTCGTCTCATTCTCTCACAGGCTCAATCCTATATGTTTGTCTCTTTTTCTCTCGTTATTTAGTATAGTAGCCGTTTCATAGCTCCGTTTCTGTTGATTTACTTTTTAGATCATTCCTATTCTAAAGAAGTTTTACTTCAAAAATTTTTTGAAACAAAAGTTATAGGGAATTTAATCCTCTACAATATTGATAAGTAATACAGATAGCGAAAAACCCATAGGAAACGAGATATTTGCAAAAAATGTGCAAAAAATCGATTTTTGTGACCTTTGAGTTAATAGAAGCGTGCACCTTACCATATGTAGGTTTTGAGACAACTTTTAGAATGTCAAAATACAAGTTTATACGAGTTTATAGCTCAGTATCTCAAAATCCGAGATTCTTACCTAATTTTGACTAAGATGACTGGACTAATTAAAGAGAGGGTTGCACAGACGCATAATGACGCTCCTGCGTTTCACCTCTGTGCTCGCTCACCTCTTCATCATCTCTTCATAAAAGAGAATATATGTAACTTTGACTTCGTAATTTGGTATAGAATTTTATTAAATAAGTAAAAAAAACTATAAGTAGCTGGAAATATATTCTTAAACACCCATTCATATCTTGTTAATCATCTATGATGAAAAAGTCATTCCTATTCCTAATCATAACTCGTATTTCAAATTAGAAAATTTATTTTCTTTTTGAACGTCGAAGCTATTTTTTTCTAATTATTAAAAGGTTTAATATCATCAATTATTAGAAAAGCTCCTAAAATGGTAAAAAAAAAATAATTTAATGAAATATAATTTATCGCGGATGATAACGTCCGGATCTTGTTTCGAAAATTATCGATGTTTCGGTTGGTAAATGAAAATGGCATTAATCGATAACGAAGAAAAACAAACGAAATGGCATTTTTTTTATATTAGTAATTAATAACTATCAATTAAAGTTATATTACCTGTAGTACAGTAAGTACAGACGTATTTCTCCGATTTAATTAAGCATTCTTATTACGATCCTTGACTTGTCCACTTGTAAATCCTTAAATTTATTTACCATTTTGAAATAAATATTACTTTTTATAAATTAAAAAAACATTAATACAATTGCTAATGATGCAGTATTGTTAACAATTGTCAATGAAAAATATGACGTTTTAAACCTGACATCAGTAGAAACACTATAGGAGGGATGTGCCATGTAGATTGCTGGGGGACAGGAACTAGTGTAGTCACGTGATTGCGCGCGAAATATTCAAACATTGAAATAATTATGAAATAATGAATTGCATCAAATACAGAAAAAAAAATGAATTATATTTATTGATAATTATAAATTTATATTAAAATAGAATAGGTTACACAAAAAAATTATTATAAATTTAATAAGAAAGATTCAATTAAGTTCGATTTGATAAAAGGCAATAAGTCTGTAAAAAAACGATAAGTTATAGGTTAGGTTTGTACATTTATATTTGTAATTATTAAATGAGTTAATTAAACTTATACTTATTGAAAACTACAAAAAAAAACAATTAAACATAAATATCACAATAAAAACTATAAGTATTCCAAACTTAAACTAACCACAGCCGTTAATACATACTAAAGATAAACACGGCTAGGCGATGCAACGGAAGCTGTCCCCCCACATTTTTAGCCTTGCAATATACATCGCGCGTCCCTCCTACAGGGTCTCTAGATATCAGCGAACATAACGACACTTAGCAGCGTATTTCCGAAAATAATCTTTCCTTTTATTTCCATTCGTATTTGCTAGTTATTTTCCTTTGTCGATCGCCCTCCTGGTATCTGGTTCCGTGCTTTCAATATTAGTAACACATGTTGTAATAGATTGTCCAAACTAGTTATTTAGATTTAAAAATATCGTTAGAAAGAAAAACGCTTAGAATTTCAAGGCGACTCAAGTGAAACTTCTTAAGATTTGTATGTGTTACGAATTTTCATATTGAATAATTAAATAATAGATTATTTTTTTATTTTTTTACAGATCAGTACAGTACTTGAAAACTAAAATTATAAAAACTATCTATTGTGTGGTTCATTGAGAGAGAAATATATAACTGATGATGATAATAATATAGTTTATTTTATCGCCAATTATAATGATGCGATGTTCAGCAGTATTAACAAGAGGTTTACAAAAAAGTGGCATGATTACAAAAATACAGAATACAAAAGAGTTATGAATATAAGACGGACTGACTGACAAATAAACTGATAAACTAACTGATAAAATACGCAAACGAATATAACAGACTGAAAGTATAATTATTAAGCTAAGAACTAAGGACTAATACTGACAGATATGCAGACTGATACAGATTAAGAACTGATAGACTAAGGAACTGCTTTCTTACTTTCTTTCACATATTTATATCATAAATGAGTAACACCCCTTTGGAAAGGGGAGGAGATTTTGAATACTATCGATCAATAACAGAAGGATCCTCCCTCCCATAGTGAACCAATGGGTACAGCTTTTGTTTTTAATAAAGATCGTAGTGAAATCATGCATAACGGAACTTCGTTTTTTTTAAAAAACGGAATATCGTTTCCCCCCATTGTCCGAGTGGAGTAAACCTTTCACAAAGGTCGATAGCGTATTCAAACAGGAAATAAAATGAAGAAGAAACTACATATTAATTTTATCGCCTAAAATATGTAAATACACTTTAAATGTTTATTCCATATATACATACATTTACGTATTTTTACAAGTAATTTGAATAAAAGAACGAAGTTTCTTTTATTTATTTCGAAAAAAACGAATCGTCAGAAGAAAAAAAGAGAATATTAATTAAACATGTAAACTATTATAATTTTGTACAGTCACATTGGCTAAGCATTATTTTTGTTACAAAGGTTACATTTAAATTTAGGAAGATCGCGCTAGAGTTATGTTATGCGTCCGGTGGATGATCAACTGGTACAAAAGTACGTTTATTAAAAATGGTAGTTGTTTACAAGTCAAGATCACGACAGTAATTAATATTTCAATGATTTGTTTAATTCAGATTCTTATATCGATTTCCAATAAAAAGTCGATGGTCGTTGAATGTTGAGATAAGCGATGTCGTATACCACGATCAATACCGATTAAAGTCTCACCACGAGGTGGTTTCTGTAATTCCTGATCCACAGTCAAAGATTCTACATTCACATTTAATTTTCGCAAAAATCCATTTTATTATTTATATTTAAAAAAAGAATATTGTACGCAGATCATATGTGTTCGAAGTGTTACCTTAAAAAAAATAAGTTTCGAGAGATTCAGCCGAATGCACAGTATCAAGAATAAGATAATTGTAGGATTTATTTATTATAATATTGTTACCATATATATCAAAGGGCACCGGTACTATCTTGTTATGGGGGTAGCTAATAGAAACGATCAATATTCAAATTGTATCAATTAAGATAGAATGCTGAATGCGATGTCAATTGATAGAAATACATCTACATAAATAGTTCTCGACACTTATAATAATCACCCAGTTTTTCTTATCTATGGATAACATATTAGACCCTATGGAAAAATTTTTTATAAAAATCTTCAATTAAAATAAGAGATTAATACCATCTCCAAGTGACAATCCAACGTCAAAGACTGCAAATGGAAAAAGAAAGAAGCCAAGTAATTTTGTTGTAACTTACCTAAATAATAGTCTTTAGTAGCAAAGAAATTATCTCGTTAATAGTGGGTAATGTTTACAAATCTAGCACAGGTCTAACAATCCTATCGATAATTACAATAAAAAAGGACTCGTTTAAAATAACGATCTTGCCACAAATAACATCAGTTTCATTTAAATTGACATAAGTATTATCTTTAGTTGTGTGTTTTCCATTCTTTTTGTTAAAAAGCTAATATTAGATTTGTAGTCAACTATTTCAAAAAAATTAATAAACTAATTTTACAAAATATTAAATTATATTTTCATTTTTTGGAAACATATTATAAATTTGGGACTACTGTACGCTTTCTAAATTGCTAGTTTTCTTCGAGAGTGTACCGTAGTCAAAAAAGTAATGGTATACGATAAAGCATTGCTATTAGACGGTGTAAAATTTAGAATAATTCAATTAGCATGTACTTATAAAACGAACATTCTTACGATGACTATGTTGATTTCTGTTGTATTGTATGCAAATTGATAATATTARGCGTGTACATTGTACAATAGTGTGGTTATCTYTATATAAATGCAAAGACCGACTAGCTAATATTACTCAATCATTAATTGGAGTTGAACTAGGTTACTTGGAAAAAGTTCAATAGTCATTTCTATCAAGAGGTCATTTTTAATACTTAGTTTATTATAATCTTTTTTATTATCTAACAAACATATTTGGTTCTTCATAAGATAAAAAGTTATTAATAGTTTTTGTTTAATAGTTTAAAATCGGAAAACTTGTCGTCATATTTTATTATATTTATTGTGATAAAAGTTGTTGAGATAAATAGGTAAGTTTTTTATTTTTTACAATTCTATACTATTCCCAACTGTAAAATTCACAAAAGATCAAATTTTCTAAATAAGTGTAATACCTATAAATAAGGTAAAAAGACAAACGAACTAAATTTTCAATTWTTTTTTATGTTTCGAATAAAACTAAAAGYTGGATCAGAAATTATWKTGATGTTATATTGAATRAAACACTAAAWAGGCCATAGAATATGAGAATAGCTTCAGTCATTAGAAATRTTCATTGACATGTTTATTTTGAAACGTTATTTAAAAAAACTATTAATTCTATAGARTAATTATTTTGTTAGAATAAATATACTTATTTTATTTATGTTTKTTACTATAGGAATATTATTTAAAAAGAAAAAAAGCTGAATTTTTCATTTATTTAAAAACGAACTACTTAGAACAATAATTAGAATTAAAAGCATCTATTTCAATCACTTATAAATAATTACTTATCTTCAAKATTTGTCTGTCATCGATAATTACTATAAAGTGAAATATTTCTTACTTTATTTGTATGTAATATTTTGTTTTTATTATAAAAGAATTCAAAAAATGGCATCATTAAGCGGACAAACGTATCAAGAAGAAATATTATCAATGGTAGAGGAGCCAAATTATTATAATCAACGAGGTGAAGTTGCTACATTTTTTTCTGGAAAGAAAATTTTTATAACAGGAGGCTTAGGATTTATAGGACGGCTTATAATGGAAAAACTTTTAAGGTAAATATTTTCCTCCTATATTTTTGTTCTCGATTCAATTAGTACATTCGTTATAAACTGCTGATCATAAATTTTAAATAAATTAGGATAGTATGTACAATCGGATAGTTTTTTTTAGTAGTTTTTTTCTCCTTGAGATTTATATGGTTTGAAACAAATAAGAAAAAATATTTCTTGAATTTAAAGTCTATAAATAATTGTGACTTTTGTACCTAAGGATTGTTAGATTACTTGATAGGAAAATAAGCCTGGAGCTTTTGTCATAAAAAAAAATAAATTATTTTCTTAGCAATAAAAAAATGTTAGAAAAAATATTAAATTCAGCAGACAGTATCTATCAAATAGTATCTGTTTTAAAAGATAACGATGATTATTCTTTATATTTCTCTTCTTCTACTTCTCTTTTTACTTCTATATTTGAACATTGACACAACAATGATTTGTTTTATAAGAAATAATTTTCCGCTAAAAACTTGTACTATAAATGCAGTTGCTGCGGTTTGCAGATGTTGTCCAGAAATAACAACGATTTATYTGCTGGTAAGAGCAAAGAAACAGAAGGATCCGCAGACTMGATTTAAAGAATATTTCAATGATTTTGTGAGTAAAGCTACATATTTTGTATTTATTATAATTGGAATAAACGATGTCACCAGTATTACAGTTTATATTTAAATCATTAGATTTTTGATAGATTGAAGAGAGAGCAAAAAGATGTTGAAAAGAAGATTATTGTGATTGAAGGAGACACGAGTCTATTAAATTTAGGATTGTCAGAGAAGGACCGCGATCGCATTAAAGATACCGATGTAATTTTTCACAGTGCAGCATCAGTACGGTTTCTGGACAATATTCGTATTATAGTTAATACCAATATTAGAGGAACAAGGGATCTTCTTTTGCTTGCACAAGAGATGACAAGCTTAAAGGTATTTTTTTCCTAGTTAAATCATCCGTATAAAAATGCGTATGTTTAAGCACAATTCCCGACTAGATCAATTTATTTATATATAAAATTTAGTTTAATTTTCAAAATAGATTGTTCTAATTTTATAATAATTTTGTTCTTTAGGCCTTTGTTTATGTTTCAACGGCTTACTCGCACTGTGTTTACAATAAAATCGAAGAAAAATTGTATAAGCCACCTATGAAGACAGAAGACATAATTAGATTGACAGAGATTTTGACCGAAGACCAATTAGATTTAATTACCCCAAAGTAATAAAACATGAAACCTATTGCATTCTTTTAAAGATAAGTCGATAAGCATATTCGTTTGTTTTACAGGCTACTAGGTAAGTGGCCTAACACTTACGCATTTTCAAAGGCAATCTGTGAAGATACAGTACGGCAATATTCTAATGGAATTCCATCTTGCATTGTTCGGCCATCTGTTGTTGTCGCAACAGAAAAGGAACCAATAGCTGGCTGGATAAACAATTTGTATGGAATTACAGGTGGTGTTGTTGGTAGCGCGACTGGTGTTTTACGAACAATGTATTGTGATAAAGACTTAATTGTCGATATAATTCCTGCTGATTACGTTGTCAACAACATTATTGCTGCAGCATGGGATGTTGCACAAAAACGGTAATTTGTATCTCCTTTTTTAGTTTACTACTAAAATAAACTTTTAGTAAATCTCTTAAAATATCATTTACATTAAATAGGTTAGAACTTTTTTTGTATGTCCATATCATAGAGTGTTAATTTTTCCAGCAGAGATAACAAATACTTACCTGTTGACGATGAGATTTTAGTTTATAATTCTGTTTCCTCCGTTCAAAGACCAGTTACGTTTGATACTATAATGAATAATTTAAAGCTTGAGGGATTTCAAGTCCCGTCGAAAAAAGTGCTTTGGTACGCCTCACCATGGTATATCAAGAACTATTATTTCTATATCTTTATGACGATTTTTTTACACTGGATACCAGCAATAATAGTGGACTCTTTTTTATATCTAAGAGGAAAAAAGCCAATGTAATTTATTATGATTTTTAGGTTAACAAGCTATTTATTATCCGTCGATGAAATAGAGCATAAATATAATAATGGCCTTTTTTTTCAGACTGCTAAATGTCTACAGAAAAATAGAGAAGTTTAAACATGTAATAAGTTTCTTTTCAATGAATGAATGGGAATTTACCAACGATAATGTCTTAAAGTTATGGGACAAATTATCTATTGTAGATAAAAGTAATTTCTTCTTTAATGTTGCTGATATTGATTGGAAGTGTTTTTCTATTACTTACATCAGGGGATGGCGAGTATTTTTAGCTAAAGACCCAATGGATACGGTTGATGAATCGAGACCTTATTTTAGAAGGTGAATGTTTTATTATCTTTTTTTTAAAACAAATATTATCTTTATCCTATGTATAATTAATTATCCTTTTATTGTTTATCGTTTCCAGGTTGACAATAGCTCATTATACGTTGAAGTGGTTTAGTTATTTTTTTATTCTTTGGATTTTGTATTCTTTATTATATTTTATTTTTACTTACATGTTTTATTTTTGACAATCTGTGAAAAACGACAAAAAAATACTCTGTTCATAATTATTAACAGATAGAATAGGATAATTGTTTTTTTAGAATATAAGTAATTTTCCCTAAAGGTTTGAAATATTTTTGCCTTTAGATTCATTGACTTCATTGTTCAATGAGAAGATTTCTACACGCTAAAACTATTAGCAATTATATAGAAGTAGGGATCTGTTTTTATAGTTCAAATAATATCTGATGATTATAAGTGGAATGATAAAATGTTTAATGTTTACTTAGAAAGATTAAGAACGTAGAAAAAATGGAAATAAAAAAATAAAAATTTATCCATCGGTCCACTCTTATGAAGAATACAATAACTACAAATAGTTCCTTATAATAAGAAATTCCTTAACTCCTAATATTTATATAACCAATTACGTCTTAGGCACAACGCGCCACTATAATGATTTTCGCGGATGACATCTTTTAAAATATATCGTACTCCTATTTGTAATATTAATTATTAAAATAAATTTTTAAAGTTAGAGTATATGTGATATATTTTAAAGAAAAATTATTATTCTACCAATAAATACTTTATTTTAATATACTTTCGTAGAGAACGGCATTGTCTATTGAACCCTTTTGTACAAAAAAACAGCTCTGCGCAAAATTCAGCAGTGCTTAAAAAATTAAAATAATGCGAATAATATGTAATTACGAATGCTGCATCATATATTTATATATTTAACAGAAATTCTTTACATGTACAATTAATTAATAATAGTTTAAATGGATCGTTTATTTTAAATGTGGTTTAAGTCCATTTAAAAAAAAAAAAAGAGATATCACATAATTTATGCTTAATTTATTGTAAACTTTTTATGTGGATAACTAGTTAATATTTAACTTCTTAAAAAGTGCCCATGTTTTATACAATTTAAAATTGGTCGGCAAAAGAAATTGAGTAATCATTGATGTGATAATCTTTAATTATCTCAAAACAAGAGAAAGTGGACTTAACCACTTTCAAAACGATCGGTCTAAATGTTTTAATTAAAGTAAAAAAGCTATGACCGCCCATGTATTTGATAGACATTCAATTATCGATTGTGAATAACTAGATATATGTGACAAAAAAATGATCTCCGAGAGTTAGAAGTATGTCAATAAATTCTTATATGAATTTGTAAACTATTCGTCATTAAGTACGAAATGTCTGATTTAAGACTGAAAGTTTAGTTTATTATATCTCTGGCAATAAATAATATAATTAATCAAAATATGCACCTAAACTATCAATAAAACGTTGCCTTTTTAACGATAGCGATTAATACCTCTAGCGAAAAAATCTGGAGAGCAGCTGGTGATAAAATCGCGAAAGGCATATTCCATCGCATGTTGGAAACTAAATGTGTTTCCTTGTAAAAAATTGTCTAAAGCTCGAAAAAAATGGTAGCATGTCTGCGCGAGATCTGGTGAGTACAGTAGGTGACAAAGTGTTTCTAGGTCCAGTGCCTGTAGTTTAAGTAACGTCGATCTTGCAACGTGTGGTCGAGCGTTCTCCTGCAGGAGGATTAATCTGTCCCTCTTGACCAATCTCAGCTGCTTAATTTGCAGCTGCCTCATTATTTCTTCCGACTGTTTACAGTACAGGTCCGCCGTTATCGAATGGCTAGCTCTCATAAAACTATAGTCTATAACACCCGCGCTAGAGCACTATAGAGATGAGTATGCTCATCCGCCATCTTTGCTCCTCGAGTGAGCGGACAGTTTAAAAAAACATATGTAGTGAGTGTTAGTCTGTGAGTTTTATCGTTATTATTTGCAATTTTTTTAATTATTTGTGAATGAATGAATAAGAAATTTTATTGAAATCGTGTAATAGTCGTAGACAACTATTGATATCTGTTTGAAAACATATTGAAAAATACATTTGATTTACTAAAAGTATTATTTGAGAAAA